TTGTACACCTAATACTTGCGAATCTTACGCATTTTTATTGAGTTCAATGACTTCAGAATGATCTTCAAAATGACTTGAGAGATTTTTTTCTATCATGCACGTCCTCAAACCAGATAAGCTCTCTTTCCAGTCATTTTTTCTGAAATAAAAATAAATTAAATAATTTGATAGAAATAATTTAGATAAAAATGAGACACCCAGTATACATAGAACTACTCAGAAGTCAAAGTGGCTAACTCCTCCAAATTAAATTTATTAAATTATTTATATTTATGAAGAGTTGAGCACGAAGCGTGTGTCTCGATACTAAAATCGAAGAATTTGAAAAAATGCAGTTGCACCCAGGCTCTGCACAATAATGCAACGATTATCGCACGGTTGGTCCACAGGAACGTGCAGAAATCGCGAGAGGACACAGGGCGCGGATGGTTCATTTTCTGGGTTAGCCAACGATAATAATAGGAGTCACCGATCGCTATGGTCACGATGCGGCTTACGGATCGTGTATCGAGTGATCGAATGAGGGCTGCTACTATGCTTCTTGATCTCGCGCTGCTTCTTGGCTCGATCAGAAATATCCCGGTAATGTTCCTCCTGACCTTACGGGTTGCCTGGAATCGTGCCGATTCAGGTAATTCCGCCTGTAAGCGCACGGCTATCAGTGATAATCACTTGAAAGTATTATAATCCACCTGGTAGAAATTGCTTTTCAGTTGGAACACTTTGCGCGTAGGAATGTGTCACGTTTCACAGGCGAATTATTCTATACTCTTTTTTTCTCTCGCTTGTCTGTAGGTTGGTTTCGAATTTATTTCTGAAATTGACGTCTCTCTCTCTCTGTTGTTTCCAGTTTTCGTGAAAAATTCCATTCTGAGATGATAAACTTTATTTCTGAAGTCTACGTCTCTCTTTCTCTCTGTTGTTTCCAGTTCTCGTGACAAATTCCATTCTGGGACGATAAAAGTCATTTCTGAAATCGAAGTCTCTCTCTTTCTCTGTGCTGTGTCCAGTTCTCGAGAAAAATTCCATTCTCAGACGATAAAATTTATTTCTGAAACCGAAATCTCTCTCTTCCTCAGTGTTGTGTCCAGTTCTCGTGACAAATTCCATTATGCGACTCTAAAGCTTATTTCTGAAATCAAGGTCTCCCTCGTTACGTCCAGTTCTCGTGAAAGAAAAATTCTCACGATAAATGTACTTTCTAACACGCGTAGCTGCGCTATTTTTTTTTAGATATGAAAATGAGAGTGTTCGTGCATACTAAAGAGTTTGTAGGTAAATGGAGCAGGTTCGTTCTTCTCTCTAAACAGCACCGAATGAAGATGAAACGTGCGATTAATCCGATATAAAAGCGGTTCATCGTACCCGTGGTTTCCTTTTAATCACGTTTAAGAACGAAGAATTTCAAATTACCCCGGGGGTAATGGATAGCGATTGTGATGGTAAATACGAGCATTCCCCGACGAATCGGTTAATTCCTCCAACAATTAATCCGGCCTGTTTAACGCGTAATAGGAACAGTGCATCCGACCGTGAAACCTTGATAACGAAGACAAACATCGAATCATATATACAATCACGGAAAAACGATCTCAGCTTTGTGAATTTTAACATTAGTATTAACACTCGTGAACGATGATAGTCCTAGCCGCTGTGTTGCTGCACGCGTCTTCTTTTGCCGTTTCATGATAATTGTCGCACATTAAAATATTACCGTAGAGATTCTTTAACACACTCTCGTACTGCTCCATATAGAAGCACCATAAACACGCCAGCGTAACGACGGAGAAGTAACTGCAAGTTTAAAGTATTCCAAGAGCTCCTGGTGCTATTAAGGAACGTCATTTTACCATTTATCGCACTCGAACGGTCTCTCCTATGTGGAACAAACACGCTCTTGCTTCGATCCGACAAATTTATACTTCTGAATTTGGCTCGGATATTTTTCGACACCCTATACGTACATTTTTATTCTTCTTCGCGTAAGTAGGTTAGATTATAAGAGCCTTAAGGCTAGGCTTCTCTCTTACGTATCAATAACACGCATCATTTCACTCTGCACCCTCTTCTTACTTTCTATATACGCGGTAATAAAGACGTGTAACATAAAATGAAATAATAAGATAAGGGAAAAAAAGAAAATTGAAGAAATAAATCACGCGTGATGTACAACAACGGAGATTTTTCATTAGGTGGGGAAAAAAGAGGAAGGATGTAAATATCTCCGTACATGTTATACTAGGCAACGTAGTCGTCAGCAGCCACTGTCAACGTGTATCCAGTTCTGCGTAGCTCATCATCATTAATCTCGTAAAACGTTGTTTCACCGGATCGAATGGTCACGGCGATTGCTCGCGTGTCAAAGGAGGGCCGCCTCTCGCGGAAACGTGGTGCATACGGGAACGCGCGCGCGGTTGCGAAGCGCGTGCTCGTCAGATCGGCGATCTTGAAGCGGTGGTACGCGAGCATAACGTAGTAGTAGCGAAGCCTGCTATATAGTGAGGTAGGATACTTATACTCGAGGAGGACAGCCGAGGCATTGACCCGCGCGCGAGCGCGGTTAGTCACGCATACGCACGCACTTTTCTCCACGCTTGTACGCGCCGCGCCGCGTTGCGTCGCAGGCTCCGCTCCGCGGTTTGTGCTACTAGCGATGGGACGTTTGAATCTCAATTTCGAAGAGATTCCGTAGGTTTTTCCCTGTAATGGGGACATTCGAGTCGCTTCGAAACTTATTTGACGGTTCGAGGCTGTGGAGTGGGTTGATTAGGCGTGAGTCTTGAGTCTCGGTGGATGTTGAGTCTTCGAAGTTTTTCGATGGGTCTTGAAAATCTTTATTTTCGAAAATTCGAATCGTCTCGAATTCAATTCGATCCTTAAAACTCTTGAGTCTTGATAAGTCTTGGACCTTGAGTCTCGATATATCTTGAGTCTTCAAAGTTTTTCGATGGGTCTTGAAAGTCTTGAATTTCGAAAAATTCGAATCGCTTAGAATTTAATTGGATCCTTAAAAACTTGAAAGATTTGATAAGTCTTGAACCTTGAATCTCCAAATTTTCCATACCCGTTCAAACTTTTGAATTTCCAAAAATTCGAATCGCTTGGAACCAAATTCGCCGCTTGAAGCTCTCTAAATCCTTGATAAGTCTTGAATCTTGAGTCACCAAACTTTCTTTAGGTCTTGAAAATCTTGAATTTTCAAAAATTCGAATCACTGCGAGCCTAATTTGGCGCTTAAAACTCCCGAAACTCTTGATAAACCCTGAATCTTGAGTCTCGATAGATCTCGAGTCTCTAAAGTTTTTCGACAAGTCCGAGGATTCCGTATCTCGCATGCGAGCACGAGGAAAATTGGAGAAAGTGACGATACTAACGTGATTCGCCACGGCCAGGTTCAACGGCCAAGTTCACGCGTGATATCATCCAATGGCTCCTCAGTGTGCCAATGCTATGCTATGTCGACTCTGATGAGGTAAACGACGCGGCGTTTCTGGAACACCGCTTGGAAATCGGGTCAACGTCGAGAAATATGTAGTAGCTGCAACGCTCATTAGTGATCCGTGTCCCTCTTCTAAGACATTTGCTTTATTGACAACGCAAATCTGTAACATTTAATTTACATAATTTCTATACCATTTGTTATTTCTCGATTTTTCAGTCAGAATGAAAGCGACATAATTTATTCGATTTCTAACAAGAACATTTTGACGATACACAATTACAATACTAACAAATTTCAGAAAATAGCAGCGACAAATTTTATTCACCCTCATCTACGAATGCTAGATCTTCCTATAAATCGAAATGATGGAGGTACACCGTATATGATCTAAGTTAATCCTCATCTTATACAACAATCTTCATCCCACTGAACGAATCATGAATAATCCAACGCGAGCTAATCAACGGGTGAACACCTAACAAGGCGCGAGTGTGATTAATTAATAAAATTGTTATTGTAAACTCGTTAAGCTAATTGGCGATGTTTAAAGCATGCTGGACGATGCTTTCCTAGCGTTTGCTCGCGGTAGATAAGAATTCTTCTATTAACCATTACGCCTTCCCACGATAAATTGCATTGGCAACAGCCGTGAACCGTGTAATCCGGCACAATCTAGCGGAACCGAATTTTAGGCCGTGAGCGATACAAATGTGATCGAAATGAAGCGGGCAAAAGCATCCGGCGCGGCGGACGGGCAGCAGCAGCTCGTCTCCGTCGCGGCGGAACGAAACGAGCAAGCGAAGGTACCGTTTGAAAATTCCACGGATGAAATTCCCCAGAGTCGGTTCCATACACTGGACGATTCCTCGCCTCTGACGTGTACAACCTCCCAATTAACTGTATCGTTGACCAATGATCTCGACGATGAAAACGGGGCGAGGAAAAAAACCAGGAGGAATCTGCTTTATTCCAGCAGCGGTCTCTAACGAACCCATTCCTTCTCTTCAACAACCATTTCCGTGATCCTCGCGTTTTCAATTGAAAACCTGCTCGAATCGCTGTATCTGATAAACAACTAATCTTGGATATATATGTGATATTTATACGTAGGCTCGTTCGTATGGATAATTTTAATCTTTATGAAGTTTTTAACATGGCGTTTATTCGATATTATATTTCATTAAGATGAAAGAAATTGCCATTTGCAGTTATATATCGAGCTTCCTTCGAGTAGTTAATTATCGCAAATGTGAAGTAGGCTCGAAGATAGAAATATAAATTGTAAAATTTGAAATTTAAAAATTCTTCTTAATTTCGCAAGAATTTTTTCAATTATCTGTACAAATATTATTTCACAAGTTTCCCATGTACATCTCCTCTTCTCAAATTTCTTACACCCAAGTGCCATTTTCATCTGTTAAATTAAATAATTAAATAATGATTTGATCGGGCGAAAGTTATTTGCAAGTGAAATTCAGTATAATACAAGCCACCCGACTGGACTGGAAATACAAAAAAAGAATCACTGGAAGTAAGGGATTTTCTCTATTTGTTTCAGCGAGACGGACATGGCTCCGAACGCAGAGGAAGAGTTGCTGGTGGTGAAGCCATGGGGGCCTCAACCGGAAAAGGTACGTCGATACGTCTCCTCCGTATTAAACGGATTACGTCAATTAAGAAAAAGAAAACAAAAGGAAGGAGTAAAGCTTGTAACGTAAGACGCTAATACGTCTCGTATTCGAACGTCAGCAGGATGTTGATTATTCGATTAGCATATCTCTCAGCATTCGCTCAATAAATAGAGTATGATACGGGTAGGCGTGCGTGGCTTGTCGATCGTTTTGTCTTAACGACGTCGTGAGAACCGCCGAGTCTTGTCCAGGGGTTCAATAAACGACCCAGAAATGTGTTAAAGGAAGGAGATTATGGATAGTTAGGTTCGTGGAATTAGCTTGTTTTCTATCATAATCCAGCCAGTTCTAATCTATTTGTCGTAATCACCGTGAAAATAGCCGTATTATGCGTGCATCCACTATCTATATACCTACTATTTTCCCTCGCAATTTATATCGATCTACGATGAGGTGAGAGAGAGGGAGGACGTCCGGTTAGTGATCTACAGGAAGGAAGCTAATATTACAATAATTTTACCGTGGAATTTAATCCATTTTGAAACTTGGACAATTTTTCTCATTTTTTCCCTCTCTCTCTCTCTCGCTTATCTAAGATTTGCGTACACCAATCAGATTTTCCTTTCGTCATAGTAGAAATCCTTTTTTTTTTTTTATCGAACTCTCTCGCCTTCGAATAATCGTCGAAACAATCATTCACTTTGTAGTTAACCGAGGCACGGTTTTAATATTCAGGCATGCATTAACATGCACCAGCTCTGGGATGCATTGAATTCTACGGCACGTAATGGCCCCAGCGGCATTTATACGCGTCGCGAGGCTGCGAGGGAGGTAATTAGTCATGGATAATATGATTAATATCGGGGAGAGGCCACGGTGCATCGCATTAACCCCTCCGAGGTGCACGTATTTACACTCAGGTGAAATAATTATTTTTATAGCCGAGTGAACGATGATGATAATTCGGTTTTAAATACGTGCAGGAGTTTCTTTTTCACGGGGAAACCGGGGAACGAGGTTGCGCGAGAATTGTTCACCTCGTAATTCGCGGCTTTAATTTTCTTGCAAGGTGAATTAGATTAATTCTTTGGAGCATTTCAGATTTTTAATTGGATGCAAGCTTAGTCTTATTGGAAATTTGAAATATTCTACGAAGTGTTGATTCGAGTGGAATCTTCTGAAAAGCAGTTCCATTAAAAAAAACAAAAACAAAAGCAAGTTAGAGATTGTGAAGCAGTGAAAAATTTTCCTCTGCGATCGTTCTCCAACTTGGCTTGAAACGGAGCTATAGCTTGGCCCAGTTGCTAGAATCACACCCGGTGTAAATAAGAAAGAATAATATTGTCCCACTAATGAGAGATTTACGTCATTACAATAGAATGATTAACGAAGGAGTCCCCTTAACTTATACACCGATTCGAGTCTCCCACTACGGTGCCTCGTGAAAGTTCGCGACTTTTACCAACATTCGAACTCTTGGCTGTAATTGAACAAACGGTGAAATGAATAGGCACGCGGCTGAAATTGGATCAATTGTGACGCGTACCGGTGTCCTCCTTTTTTCTTCTTTTTTGTCACAGTTAGATCGTACGTAATACTTAGACTTCTCATATTTACGCGGTGTTAATCGTTCAAACATCTGCAAAATACAGGAGAAATGACTCTGTAATCCATAGATAAACTTGTCGTAAGATTCGCAACTTTGCATTATTCCCATCTGCATATAATTTCGCAGAAAATACGTGTATACGTTACGTGGATTGACAAACTGAATAAGCATATACTTAGGCGAATCGAGAAAGCGTAACGTCCCCGTGTAAATGTGGGTTACACGTAAGTTTGTTTTGTTTCGCATGAATCTACGCGAGATATTCATAGCTCGCCTACACCTCCCCCGACAAATTCGTCTACCGGGTTGCCTAATTGCTCGCGTAATTGCCACGGTTTATCCCTAACCTTAACGATTTCCTGCCGGTCGGATCTCTCCCCGTTTCGTGTTCTCAACCGGGGACGAAAAGAACGGCGACATGATTGATCTATGCACACCTCTACTCTATCATGATCGCCATTAGACAATTTACGTGCATCATGTCCGTGGTATCGTGAGCGCGCATCCCGGAAAGGAACTCTAATTACTTTATCGCTTTGCAAAAAGTACATCGTTACTAGCCCCCGTATTCATCAAACGATGATAGCCCGTCAGCGTCCTACCGTCGATATCAGTAACGAACGAGCGTATGATTGATCGCGACTGTCCACGATCACTTCAAACGTCCCTACCGGTCTGAATAAAGTCTCTGTGCTTGCGACCCAAGCCAAGCGTAAAATTGTTTTATTGCCGTGGAGATAGGGATAAGGGATTAATGAGTAACTGTCGTATAAGGGGTGGAAATATTCACTGTGACACGGTGCGAGAGTGTGGAAATTGTGAAACTTTAGGCGCGACAGAGGAAAAGCTTCTTTCGCGTGACGTGGACAGTAGGTATTAGGGCTCTTACGAAAATCCGAATATTCGGTGTATTCGAATACAGTGGAATTCGGATTTTAGCTTTGAATAGTTGAATTTTCGAATATCGGTAGAATTCGGGTTTCAACTTTGCATAGTTGAATGTTAGTAGAATTCGGATTTCAGCTTCGAGTAGATTAACTTTTCGAATATTCGGTGTACTCGAATTTCAGCTTCGAATAGTTTGACTTTTCGAATAATTCAGATATTCGGTGTATTCGAATACCGGTAGAATTCGGATTTCACTTCGAGTAGTTGAATTCTCGAATAATCCGGATAATTCGAATATTCCAAGGTTTTCAGTTTCCAATGATCCGGATAATTCGAATATTCGAAATTTTTCAGTTTCCAATAATCCGGATAATTCGAACATTCCAAGTGTTTGAAATTCACAACGTACCGAATATTTCGAGCACTCTTAAACGAAAGAGCTACGGACGCAAAGCGTGAAATTCAGCGAATTTTCCGCGAAAAAAGGAAAATGGAGCGAACTGCGGATAACCGCGAAATAGAAACTCGGTTTCTTGTTCGAAAACAGACCGATTAACCGCGCTAAGCAACACCACAGTCGAACAAGTGGTTTCGTTTAGATCGAATTATCGAAATAGAAAGTGGCTATCCGAGATTCGTTGCAAATTGACGGATAAATCGTTACCAAATTCTTCGTACCCTGTTAACAGGCTGAAACGGTTGAAAAGAAATTGGAACGTTTTAAACACCGTAACAAACGCGAATTGTTCCGTTTTTCGTACGTTCTTGCAACGTTCTCCTTGGCAGAACAGAAGGCGTGAAATTAATTTCCACGATCGATCCGCGTTTCAACGAGAAATCAATCCCCAACGGCGGCGGCGTTCAATTTGTACGGTAACCTATGGACCACAAGGCGATAATCACTATAATTCCATCGATTTATGCTCCGAAGCGGCGTGGAATTAACTTCAGTCCAGCTTCCAACCTCCCTCGCATGAATATTTCATCCGCGGCGGAACGGCGACTGTAATCTCGCCGGAATAGAAACGTTTGGTCGATATTTGAATCCCTTTTAACACTTCACCCGTTCTATTACTTTCTTCGAAATTGTTTAATCAATTCTGTATACACACATACACACCGTCGCCAAATTAATCGCCTATACAGAAGTTGTCTGTTTTCTCTCGTTTCGATCGTAAAACGATTAATTACATCCTTACGTTCTATTATTATACACAGTATCTATGTAAAACGGAAATTAAGGTCCAAGGTGCGCAATTATGCTCTCTGCGTCTTCAATTAACGTTTTATTGGATATTATTTTGCAGGAACGTTTGAGACCACCAACGTACAACGCGGAGGACTACGCGATCGCTCTGAGACGATGGGGAAGACGTCCGCTAGGAAGTGTTCAAGACTCGCATGGTACCTTGCCGTCGACAACCAGTTCGAGTTCCGGTTACGCTTCCGGAAGCGGCGAGATGACCTTGAGACAATTCACGTCGGTCAGCGAGCTTCTGAACAAGCTCAGGGCGGATCTGAAGCTAGCGTTTCCAAGGTTCGTTGCATGAAAAACTTCGTCCTTTGTGAACCTGAGAAATTTAACACATTTTCGCCATTTTTCTATTATGAAATTCTTCGTTTTAAAATTTTACCAAAATTCGCATTTCTTTTGTGTTATCGACCTTTGTTAACAAGTTTATGAATTAAACGTTGCACGACGTTTCTTAACACTTTACCGACCGATAGCGGTTGAACATCCTACGCACTTCCGACCGCTCATTCGGCCACAGATGCATCGCTGACACCGGCTCTGTTTAGACTCGAGGCTATCACACGGGAATATATGCGCTTTTTCTCATACCTATAGAAATGTTAAATCAAACTTTGACCGATTAATAGGCTACCGGTCGGTAAGCGTTGGCGGCAAAAAAGCGATTAATAGGCTACCGGTCGGTAAGCGTTGGCGGCAAAAATCCGATTAATGGGCTACCGGTCGGTAAAGTGTTAAGAATGGACCTATGGATGGATGAAATGGATAGTTTAATTTGACGATTAGTAGAATTCGACCAGAATTCACATTTTTTTCTGTGTCATGGACCTTGTTAACAAGAGTGTAATTAAGCGTTGCTAAGTGTTTCTTAAGCATGATCTATTTAGAAGAGACTTCTTTAATTCGACGATTAGTAGAAGGGAAAAGCTTCACTTTCAACTGAAGGAAACGTTCAAACGAGTCCTGCACGACACCCGGAAGCTCACGTGTGCTTGATTGTCCGTGAACAATTATAATAAGCGATCGTATGGCTGAATTTACGCTCTCCCGCTCCAACTAACGACAAGAACACCTCGAAAGTCCTCGATAAAAATTGAACAGGAAGAAGAACGCCGAGCTGGGGGGGATTTACAGTTACTTTTTACGTGTTTTTTCTTCTTTACGAGGCGACCAAGGCTTCAATATATACGCGAATCGCAGAAATTCTTTCTCAGATTTGACACGTGATTAAGTAACACACTTTAGATTCTCCTACTTTTTTGTTTCCTTTCCAAAGAAATCATCGATGAAATTCACCGTATGAAATTTCGATTAACCGATTCTATCTTCCGATTTCACGTTTATCTCGTTTCCAGCCTGATAACTGTTTCAATAATCATATTTCACCCTACCCGAGGATTAAATTAACCGTATGACGCAGAGGATCCGACCATCTGTCATCTTCATCCCCGCGAAAAAACATCAGCAGCGAGCAATCTCTGTTTCATGTAATAAGTCACGCTGTTCCTTTTTCCCCCTCTTTTTTCTTTTACCACATCGCTCGATAGAAGTAACAAAAGAAACGAGTTTCCTGCGTGTCAAAGACAACGCAATATGATCGTTTCGAGATTAACACGAATCGAGCCCTCTCTCTCGCGTTGAACGAAGTACGAAATAATGGTCTCGTCCCCGTTAGGCGCCAGCATGATTAAAGATCTCGCGTAAACGCTAGAATTTGTAGCTGAAGTTACAGCTGATGCTACAGCATCGCGTAAGATCGACGATGTTTGTCTCGAATCGCCTGAAGCGGGGTACGCACGCGTTCGTATTCATTCATAAGCCGTCTAATTGACTGTAGCGATAGAGTTACGATTTCTGTGCTGCTCCCTTTTATCTAGCCTCGTATCACAATCTACCGAGAGAGATTCAATCTTACTGGAGATCGTTTCATCAGCCACTCGACATTTCAACCGAGCCTTCGTTCTTCGTCTTCTATTTCTCTGGTGTATACACACAACTATTATGTAATTTTATTATGCAACTTCGCGATGTTTCTTGCGGAACGACGGTATTTAAGTTTTGATCCTCCTTTGTCTTAGAGAAACTTTGAAGAGTCGATTTGTTCGAAGAATTTGGATTATTTCGAATAGGAATTCTTTATTCGGATAATTCAAGTAATTCGGATAATTTCGAATTGGAATTCTTCATTCGGAAAATTTCGAATACGAATTCTTCATTCGGAAAATTTCAAATACGAATTCTTCATTCGGAAAATGTCGAATACGAATTCTTCCCGGAAAATTTCAAATATGAATTCTTCATTCGGAAAATTTCGAATACGAATTCTTCACCCGGAAAATTTCTAATTCGAATTCTCCACTCGGAAAATTTCGAATTCTTCATTCGGAAAATTCCGAATTCGAATATTTCATTTGGATAGTTCAGCTATTCGAATTCTTTGAATTTCGAATTGAGTAGATTATTTCAAATATTCGAGTTATTCGAACAACTCATCTATACCCAAGAGTTAACAACCTTACTATTAATCACGTCGCGAGTAAATCACTGTTACGAATTCCATCTGTTCTTTTCGAATTCTGGTATCCGTGTAACGGAGCTGACGACACACCGAAAGATCGATTACAAAGTTGCTCTTAATCTCCTGTTGGCTGATTCCGGCAAAACGGCCACAGGGTATATATGGTAATGTTAATTTTAGAACGGCCGTAGGCCTATGCCTCGCAAATTGTGGCAGTCGCGTGGTTAAACGCGCGTAGAAGGAGACTTGAACGCCCGATGTTATCCTTCACGCGCGCATGCATCCTTTTTACGATCGCCTTCTTGCTTCTCTGTCCTTTTACATTCGTCAGGTTTGTGATTAGAATCATTTTCATCTATGCAGAGAGCTCCTTCTTGCCTTCATGGCCGCTCATGCTACCAGCTCGGGAATATCCGTTGGCCGCAAATTGTGCAGCGATCCGAGAGCGCGGCAAAATTGCGCTTAATAAGAGTAAACGAGCACGCTCGATCGGACATGATTTAGTTCGAGAATACCGCGTCCTTTTTCTCCCTTTCCTTTTCTCCTCCATTTTTTTTTTCTTCGTCCTTTTTACGACGTCTCTGAATCTATATATCGTCGAAATTATTATTTGCGATCGTGATATCTGATCGGATTTAAACGCTCTGTGCGGTCTAGAATGCGACGATAAAATTCCGACGATATGAAAATAGAGATCAGACACTCTTTATTAATTATTCAATTTTTTCTTTCTCTTTAAATACTCACATTATGCCAGAAACGTGAATTTCGATCGCTCCACTAATAACAGTTGAATTATTCACCCTGTATAACATTTTTTTCTTATTCAACCCCCTTGAAAGCTATCATCAAAGAAAATGATCTTAATGCTAATCTATTTTTAATATATTTATAGCAAAGTACATGGGAGAGAATTGATCTGTTTTATGATAATATCATCACTACTGATAGCGTGAATAAATAGTGCTGCCAGTACTTACGTTTTTTAATAACATTTAAACAAAATTTCACCCTTTAACCTCCAAAAACTCCAAATTTTCTCAGTTATCTTCTTTCACTTTCCATATTGCGCTCTTTTCCACTCTACACCAAAAATCTACGTTACAGCATAAACGAGAAACTCGTATCTACACGCCTAAGAAATAATAAAAAAAGAATCAAATTAAGGAAAATCTAAGAATCAAGGGGTTAAGGTTTACAGTACACCGACCAAGTTCGTAAAACCCAAACACCCCTTTAGAAATACCTGTCTCGTTACCTGTAACACTTCTGGATGACTTATAATATGTACAAGCTTCTTACGAGGCGAGCAGATAACCCGTAAGCAGCGGCCCCGGATAAACGAATGCCGATATTACGGATAACTGTACCAGGCGAGGAGGTTGGCCGTCGTACTCAATGCGCAAATCGATCTGGATGAGGCACATCCTCGATTTCCACGATTCAGACCACGTATCATTCCTCGAGATCATTATTAGAGCGTTTAACGAGCGTTCTTTTTTCTTCTTTCTTTCTTTTACCAACCGAGCTCGCTGGATGTCTTAGCTGACGGAATCGATTTATTCTCAGGCTGATCATAATAATTACCCGTCGAGATCGATTACGCCGATCCACTGGTCGATCGTTTTTTTTCTCTCTCTCTCTTTTTTCTTACCTACGATCGCGAAGGCTGATGCTGCGCGTGCTATCTGGAGCGAGGAGACACGGGCGCGTGTTCCAACAGAGTCTCTTTGTTTTTACGTATCGCGTTGTTACATTACCGCGAAATTTTTGAGAAATAGATAATGTTAGATACTTGGATAATTCGCAATCGGATGGTGTTTTTTTTTTTTTTTTTTTCGAAATTTACAGCGTAGATAGACCGTGGAGAAGTTTTATCTGGTGGAACGGTATTAAGAATTCGTGGAAATTTAACCGAACGAGACGAATGGCAAGAGTTGGTTGTATCGAGGAATTTTTGCTTTCCCTCGGCTAAAAACATGCCATCACCGGAACGAACTTTCATCAGGGAATGGTCTCCTCTCCGTGTTTATCACTTGGAAGGAATCGGTTAGGTTGGAGGATTCGCGTGTGCCTCTCGCGAGAGCGGACCATCAATGAAAACCAACGTGTTATTACACCGTACATATGCTCAACGGAGCGGTGAAGAATGAAAAGAACTGGCAGGGTATAACGAGTTATTATCGGCTATTAACCGAAGACTCGGCGTTCAATTAGACATTCATGTCGCTCTAATTAAATAAGATGCGAGTGATTTGAATCGTATTAACGGTGATTATCGATTCACAGGAACCGAGCATAATTTAGAACATTTTAATTTGGTCGATCCTTGAGAAAAACTTGATTGTTTCTCGTTCAGAATTTACAGAAAAGTTAAATTGCGTTATCGATCATGGCCGTCGACGAAAAATTTCAGTCAAGAATTATACCAACACCTCTTTCAATCTTACGGCACTATTTACCGATATATGTTATTAGTATAATGGTTGATATATCGATAATGGTCGTCGCTTAACATTGATTATCCGTAACCGAAACAATTTCATTCAATCTTACGCTCGACTATTTAGTAGCCAAAAAATTTGCGATATTGATAATGGTCAACGCTCTACCATTCGTTATTCCTAACCAAAAAAGTTTAATTCAAGAAAATATATTTTTACACTGCACCTCCTCTCGTATTAAATTCGCAACACTCATTGTCTCCGTTTAAAAGGGAATTGCACGCTCCTTTGAAAAGACTCGCGTGTCCTGGTGTCTCTTGTTA